CTGTATTTCCCCACTGCCGCAGCAGTGTCCGCTCCCGCAGGAGCCTTTCTCTGTTTTTCCCCACTGCCGCAGCAGTGTCTGCTCCCTATCTTATCTAGCTCTCTCTTTCAGCAGGGAATGCTTCCACAAAACCTAAACCTTCCTAGATACTGCCACAATAAATATACACCAAAGGACATCCAGCACCCCTCTAATATTAAGCCTTGTTTTGGGGGGTCGTAAATGCACGTATCTGGCTGCTGTCCTGTTTTAAATTGCTTTTTGGGGGAGCGCTTTTTGGGCCGGGCCGAACACCGAGCTCGGACCCCTCTCCCCGGACAGGGGGGGGTGCCCCGGGCTCGGGAGTCTTGCCGAGCTCGGAGCCCTCTCCCTGGACAGCACGCCAAATTTGCATAACCCTTTGTTAATTATAAGAAAGTGCGAATCGTGAAGTGATGTTTACAAACAAATTTCGGGAGGAGCACACACAGATAATTAACACGGCCAGTTCATCATTAGTGATTACACCATTTATCCAATCAGCACAAGAGAAAACTCCCATAAATAACCAAGTACGCCCTACCTTCGTTATCTCTCGACTTTCAGCATCCCTCCGCCACCCCGACCTCGCACCTTCAGCATAGTTTCTACCCCAGCACGGGGAGAAGCACTCGGGGTGAGCGCTTTTTGGGCCGGGCCGAACACCGAGCTCGGACCCCTCTCCCCGGACAGCACGCCAAATATGCATAACCCTTTGTTAATTATAAGAAAGTGCGAACTCGTGAAATCTTTATTACAAACAGTCCAGCGGGTCTTAAAGAACTTTGTTTTTCTACCTCCACAAGACCCAAGTGCATATGTTACCTTGTATATCTAAAAGTGCACTTTTATTTGTTTTAAACCTAGCAAAAAAGCCAGTGAAACACAGTAGACTTGAATTATATCTATTTATTGTGAAATTACTACATTTCAGTCTCAATCCATGTTCATTTTTACCGTGAACAAAGCGCTAACTTTAATTCACTTTAATTCAGCGCGTGCAGCACAGCAAAAATAGACTCGGTGCGTAAACGATCGCTGCACTGCTGCAGACGCACCGCACCTGGAACGCACTAACAGACCACAACCGCGTGCAGTGTGAAAGCTCTAATCCAGGGGTGGCGAACGTCGGTCCTGGCGAGCCGCAGCCCTGCAGAGTTTTGCTTCAACCCTAATCAAACACACCTGAACAAGCTAATCAAGGTCTGAATGGTTTCTAGGAAGCTACAGGCAGGTGAGTTTTAATTAGGGTTGGAGCTGAACGCTGCAGGGCTGCGGCTCTCCAGGACCGGAGTTCGCCACCGCTGCTCTAATCCATTAACATGAGTGCGTAAAAAAAATGCAACGCACACGCACTGCAGACGGAGTATGTGTGAAACAGGCGTATCGAGAGTCACACAGACCTATAACAACCCAGCCACAACACATAATTGCGAACAACATGCCTTACCTTAACACAGAATCGACCACAGAGTCCAGCGTTTATATTTTTTCTACAAAGCTTTGAGTTAACATGTACTAAACATGAGTGGAATTTGCACCGCAGCGCCCCCACACCTCGATGCTCATGACAAGAATAGCATGTATAGTTATCTTTATTGAAGTGAATTAGGTTTAAATCGCCGTCATGCATGATTGAATGATATTTTTGCAATTTTACACATAATAATCCACGATGATCACATTACACAAAACTGAAATTGCACGTCAAAATAACACATTGTCAATATTTTTTGAGACCCCCCAAAATTTCATAAATCCCGTTTTCAGGGGAGCCCATGGCTTATTAAGGGGAGCCGAGCTCCCCCTAGCTCCCCCGTAGTTCGCACCCTGCCTATCAGTCATGTTTATCTTAAGGTTTCTAAAGCAGGTTAATACAAAATTTGTTATCTGTCAAAACGATGGAAATTTTGATGAGGGCAACATGTTACATAATATAGACATATATTACAACAGTGACATTTAACACATGCATGATATTGTTGCAGAAACAATCAAGCTTTTGGGGTTATTCAAGGTATGTTAAAAGTTATTTGTAAATGCTTTCATACTTTTAAATGTCCTTTTAATGATCGATGGTTGAAGTTTTTGAAAACGCTTATTGTTGCATTCAAAGAGCAAACCTTTTGCTGATTATTTACAATGTAACATTTTACCCCCATAATTTGCTCAAAGCATAATGGGGCATAGGATAAAGGTGGATAGCCAAACTTACTATGAAATGTACTTATTTTTATACATGAATTTAACTCCACAACACACAGAATTTGCTTCATCAATGCTTTTATTAATTTATTTGTATTTATTTGATTGTAAGAGTGTTTCAGAGAAGGTATTGAGAAGAGTTTAAAGTTTAGAAGAAATTTAAAAGAAGCTTACTTTCAGAATAGCTTTTTTTTGTTTTTGTAAAGATAATATCAGAAAAATGTAAATGTAGTACAATCAAAGTAACTGTGGAGCAGGATGACTGCATATGATCTCACAGGTCTTTAGCACAAACATAGCCCACTGAAATCGAGCAGTGTATATTGACCCAGCAACTGCTAGCTGTAGGGTGGAAAAAGTAAATAAGTTATTCTGATCATTATAGTGGTGGTAGAATCAAAATAAAACAGAATGTTCAACTAAAGGCACTTGTCATTTCATGTAAAAAAAATTTAAAAAAAGAAACAGACTGCAATCTTACAGGTCCAGTTAATCAGCACACAGTTCTCGGAACCACCACCATCAGGTTCATAAGAGCACCAGTAGGTGTAGTCATATGGAGTTCCATCACTCCACACCCACTGTACTTCCTAAAGAGTGAAGAGAGAGATTATTAAGAGTGCACTGCTGTACTCTGAATCCAGTAAGCAGCTGAGTCAATCCATCTTCATGTTTAAAGAAGAAATTTCAGTCTAGACAAACAAATAAGTCTTATTAGGCCACACAATTTAACTTACTTGTACACCATAATGAACACCAACCCAAGAGCGCGTGGAAGAAGGTACCAGACTCAGCAGAAAATCATTTTCCATTTTATTGTGCACAGATGCGAGATTTGAGCCAAGACTTTGGCAGTTTCTCTAAATAGACAGATTTTTTTTTTTGTCAGTACAAAATATAATATTTTCATCATAAAGCACAAAGTGACTTTTTTAAACAAAAGTTTTAGTCACTTGTGAACAATGTCTGGTCTGATTGTTAATTTTGCTCGTGATCAGTTTTCTGTATTATTTATTCGCAGAAAAAGAAAGTTTTACTTAAAGAAAAATAATAAATCAAATAAAAATCAAATCACCTACAACTAGCACATTACCTCTGCTGTGATCCAGTTGACCGACTGAGGGAAGAACTTGTAGCATCCATCCATAAGGGCATTTTTCAGCCAAATTAACTGCATCCAGTACATAAACATTAGGGCTCTTGTAATATCTGAAAACCTTTTTTTAATATTGTTATTTTATGTAGCTTATTTAATGATCTGTGTGTTATTATGTGCTGCAAATGTGTGTATTCTAGACACACTTTAGTAGATCTCTTATCAATCATGCAAATATTAGTTAAAATAATATATTTCCTGCTATCCCTCTTCATAAAGCTTCAAACAAACAACAGTTCAGGGTTGATAGAATGATGTTAAAATGGAATACCAAGTTTTAAAAAAAAATCTTAAAAATAAATATCTCTTGGTTACCATCTGCATTCCCAGTGGAGAACACAAAGAAAAGAAGAAGCAGACTTCTCAGGATTGCCATGATGAACCTGGAAATAAATAAGCAGGAAAATTAAATGTCCGCACTCTGTGGATTCTCAGTGTATTTTAAAAACAAAGCAAAACTATTCTTTAAGTAGAAAGGTTATTCAGTAGGTCTCTGTGCCAAAAACTCACCTTGGTTTTCAGATCGTTGCCTTCAGAATCTCAGAGGAAGATTTTGTGACGTTCCAGAAAGAGCCCTGCTTTTATACTTCACTTGATGTCAAGTGTGTATAAGTCACAAGGATGACACAGGATGTGACTGTTTGATCTGTCAATTTAATAAAATCGAATACAGGAGAATAGGGTAAGATGAGCTTATATAAAAAAATAAATATTAGGTTAACTAAATAATAATTCCCCCCCTTTTTTTTTTGCATAGTAATATAATAGTATAAGTTAAATATTAGTCATAAGGGATAGTTCCTCGTAAAAATCTGAAGTCGTGTAAACTATTTAGTCCCAGGCAAAAAAAAAGTGCACTTCCATAATGTACAGTTAGGTTCATATATATTTGGACACAGGCACAATTTTTATTATTTTAGCTGCTGACCTAAACATATTCAAGTTACAGTTATACTGTGAAGGTGCACACTCTGAGCTTTAATTTGAGGGTATTCTCATCAAAATTGGAGGAAAGGTTAAGGAATTGCAGCTCTTTAATATGTACCTCCCCCTTTTTTAAGGGACCATAAGTAATATTGGACAATTGACTCAAAACCTGTTTCATGGACAGGCGTGGGCTATTCCTTCATTTTTTCTACATCAATTAAGCAGGTAAAAGGTCTGGAGTTGATTCTAAGTGTGCCATTTGCATTTGGAAGCTGTTGCTGTGAACCCACATCATGTGGTCACAGGAACTCTCCAGACAAGTGAAACAGACAATTGTTAGGCTTCAAAAAGAAAACAAATCCATCAGAGAGATAGCAGGAACATTAGGAGTGGCCAAATCAACAGTTTGGTACATTCTGAGAAAAAAAAAGAATGCACTAGTGAGCTCAGCAGCATAAAAAGGCCTGGACGTCCACAGAGGAGAACAGTGGTGGATGATCGGAGGATCCCCTCCATGGTAAAGAAAAACCCTTTCACAACATCCAGCCAAGAGAAGAACACTCTCCAGGAGGTAGTGTGAAAAGATAGCAGGAACATTAGGAGTGGCCAAATCAACAGTTTGGTACATTCTGAGAGAAAAAAAGAACGCACTAGTGAGCTCAGCAGCATAAAAAGGCCTGGACGTCCACAGAGGAGAACAGTGGTGGATGATCGGAGGATCCCCTCCATGGTGAAGAAAAACCCTTTCACAACATCCAGCCAAGAGAACAACACTCTCCTGGAGGTAGTGTGTCACTGTCAAAGTCTACAATCAAGAGAAGACTTCACAAGAGCAAATACAGAGGGTTCACCACAAGATGCAAACAAGGCCAAATTAGACTTTGCCAAAAAATATCTAAAAAAGCCAGACCACTTCTGGAAAAGCATTCTTTGGCCAGCTGAAATTAAGATCAACGTGTACCAGAATGACGGGAAGAAAAAGGTATGGAGAAGGCTTGGAACAGCTCATGATCCAAAGCATACAACATCATCTGTGAAAATGGTGGAGCAGTGTGATGCAATGAGCATGCATGGCTTCCAGTGGGTTACTAGTGTTTATTGATGACGTGACAGAAGACAGAAGCAGCTGGAAGAATTCGGAATTGTATAATATTATTAAAGTATCTGCTGCATGCAGTTCTTCAAAATACAACTCTACTGTTAATGTGGTAGAAAGATAATAAGCAAAATAAATGTAATAATAAATGAATACTGATTTGCGTTATGTTATTTGCAGGGAAAATCACAAATATCTGTGAAGTAGTATGAAGATGCTCATGCTAGCGAACACGTCCTCCCCGGGCTGTCGAGTCAGTCTCAGAGCCGCACCGATGACAGCTCACCACGGCGTGAGCTCTGTAACATCGCGCTGTTTTATCCCACTTTCGGAATTGTACTTGACGATAAAATGTTGTTTATATTACTAATAGCTTCAGACAACTTACGACTAACTGCCATTGAAGAGTTTGTGAGACGCGCCAAATTAAACGGAAGTGTTGACTGGTTTTCAGTAATGCATATGAATGAATTTCAGTAAGGTGTATCAATGTTTTTCGTTTCACTAGTGTTTGTAAGAGGCTTTTCAATATTTATGGCCTATACGGCCCCTCATAATATCGGGATTATGATAAAATTTATGTTAATAAATAATGATAAGCTCTGGACATTTTTACTCAAAATGGATTAATCTAACATCCTATCACACAACAGAAATAAATGTTACAGCAACCAGTCAGTGCATGTCGCTAATAAAGCTGCATGTTCTGTGTGTCTCTGAATGCGTGGTGTAGTTTCACCTGATACGCAAACTCAAACACACGTGACTCGCGGTGTTTTCAGCATCTGCGTCTCTCAATATATGAGGACATGAACACATGCACTTCATCTTCAGAGCTGCTCTGAGAGTCACTTCACCAGCTTTATGCAGTTTAATTTGAGAAAAAATACCGTCAAATACACGCTGAAACTAAAACTAACTGAAAGACCTTCACGACAAACCATCAAAATAAAAGTCCGGTTTAGCCTGAAATTATATGACTGAATATATTACTACTGTATACCAAGGAATATCATGCAACCAAGTTCTTTTTTATTATTATTAATTTATACAGTTCTGTTGTGCAGCATCATGTCTGATAAAAAAAAATACAAATGTAAAGTAAAAAAACAAATCAAACAAACAAAAAAATTGTTGTAAATTGATTTTCATTTGATTACATTTTAAAAGATTGATTAAATTGTTAAAGTTATACCGTCAAATACACGCTGAAACTAAAACTAACTGAAAGACCTTCACGACAAACCATCAAAATAAAAGTCCGGTTTAGCGTGAAATTATATGACTGAATATATTACTACTGTATACCAAGGAATATCATGCAACCAAGTTCTTTTTTATTATTATTAATTTATACAGTTCTGTTGTGCAGCATCATGTCTGATAAAAAAAAATACAAATGTAAAGTAAAAAAACAAATCAAACAAACAAAAAAATTGTTGTAAATTGATTTTCATTTGATTACATTTTAAAAGATTGATTAAATTGTTAAAGTTTTATTAATTCATTTCACTAGACACCATTTTTATGATAAATTTGTACTAAATCATAAAACACGGAATCCATAAGAAATCAAATGGAAAACACAGAATTTAGAGAAAAATAAAATGCATTTTTGCATAAAATGCAAGATATGAAGATAATAAGCTTTGATATCTGTCCTGTTGAAAACCGGTAAAGATCCTAACCTACAGTGCCCTCCGTAAGTATTGGGACAGTAATGACAAAATTGTTTTGTTTTATATATATATATATATATATATATACATATTGATCATAAACAAACCACTGTCAAAGAAGGCCACAAACTTTGCGTGCTGACAAATTTGGCAAATATTTAAACAATTTCAATTTCGTCTTTAAATGTTGACTTTAACAAATAATATTATCTTCATTATCAGTTGTCGTCATATCATTTATCTGTGCACACCTTTTCTCTGTTTCCTTTTCCTTGTATTGTACAAACAGACCACAGCGATGAACAGAGAGTTATTTTTTAGATATCTTTTCCTATTCACAATATAATATTTTATGAGGTATCAGGTTTCCTGTTCATGTGTGTAATAAATATGAAGTTACCTTCAAACAAAGCTAAATTTAAGAAGCTAAAGTTATTGTCCCTCCCACATTCAGATTTACAGTGTTAATTAAAATTAAAATATAATTGAATGGATCTGTAATATGAATCTGTAGTATCACTGTCCTCTTGACGTCAGACACACAACGCCAGCCAATTTATTGACTTTTCATGTAATATGTAAAAATAATATTTCTGTGTGTGCTGTTTCTTCTACTGGCAGCCTTTAATTTGTGGGTGAACTGCAACTTTAACATTATGTTAACTATAAAAAGTATGTTATGTCTGGATTTGAATCCAGGTCCCTAAAATATCATAAAATAACCGTTTTTTAGTCATAAATAAATCTGAAATATAATTCCTTTTTATGTCTCACAATTATAACTATATCAAATGTCTTGCAAAAACACATAAGACCAATGCACTCAAGGATTAAAAAAAGTAAAAAGCCACTCACATGTGCTTTTAAAATTAATTTAGCCATGAGTAAATAAAAGCTTTTTAAAAAATGTAATCCCCAAGCATCTTGGCCTTAAGTGTTTTTGCCAGTTGAATTACCCATTATGCAAACTGGGATACAATGGTTTACTCCAGCAGCACTCTTCAATGTATCATATCAAATGTACCAAAAAAACACATTTGCATTGTCCTGATGTTGTGTTGTCCTATACATCAGCAGCCTGGGGGGAGGGGGGTTGGGTTGGGGTGCTTCTTATTACTTCTATTTAACTTAACTATATATTCAAAGTACTAAATAATTATTTAGTTAACCTAATATTTATGCAGTTTCATCTTTCCCCATTCCCCCAACTCCACAGATCAAACAATCACATGCTTTATCATCCTCATCATGATTTAAACACACTTGACATCAAGTAAAGTATAAAAGCAGGGCTCTTTCTGGAACTTCACAAAATCTTGCTCTGAGATTCTGAAGGCAACAATCTGAGAACTAAGGTGAGTTTTTGGCACAGAGACCTACTGAATAGCCTTTCGACTTAAAGTATCTTTGTACTTTGTAATTGAAATAGCCTACATTGATAAGCCACATGTGCAACACATAAATGCAGACATTTAACTTTTGCTGCTTATTAATTTTCAGGTTATCATGGCAATGCTGAGAAGTCTTCTGCTTCTTTTGATTGTGTTCACCATGGGGAATGCAGAAGGTAACTAAGACATTCATTTGCGAAAATATATCCTTGTTATCCCATTTTAAAAGCTTGTTCTGCCAAACCTTTGACGTTTTTTAGCTTTAGGGATAGCAGAATGTAATAATATTATGAGAGTAATATTAAGAGTAAGAGATTAAAATACCAATATTTGCATGATTACTGAGTCTCTAAAGTACACATATTTTTGCAGCACATAATCAGACAAACATAAAATAAGCTACATAAAATAATAATAATAATAATAATAATAAAAACATTTTTGCTGTGAAAATGACAAGAGCCCTATTATTTATGTACTGTATGTAGCTGAGATAGCTGAAAAATGCCCCTATGGATGGACAAATTTTGGAGTCCGATGCTACAAGTTCTTCTCTCAGTCGGTTAACTGGATCACAGCAGAGGTAAAGTGCTAGTTATAGTACAACAAGCTGATTTGGTCATACTTTATATTAGGTGTCTTTAACTACTATGTGTTACAAATTATGTACACTACAATGTACTTATTTTGTTCATGTTGTATTGCATATTTTTAATGATGTACTGTTACTAAAATGGTCATTTTCACACACATTTCGCTCTATTGCGTTGTTTTTATATTTGATGTAAAATGGTTATGTTTAGGTTTGGAGGTACGGTTAAGGGATTTAAAAATCTAAATAAAACACATATCTTTATGATATAAAAGATTTATGTATATTTTACTTAAACTATTATTATTTTTTTAATATGTCCAAATTGTACTTTCAGCATCATTAAATGTTAATTACTAATACCTACGTATAACCAATGAGACCAGGCTGGTAAAAACATGTACTATGTGCAAAGTAAGTGCATTATAGGACATGATTAATTTAAATGTTACAACATGAAGACATTTTACATAAAGTGGGACTGGTGATTTGTTTAATATTTTTAAAGTAAAACTTTATTTTCCGCAAATAAATAAGGCAGAAAACTAATACTGAGCAAATAATCAGTCAGACCAATTTGTTTGCAAATGTTGTTTAAAAGGTAATTGATGCTTTGTGTTAAAACTGTTAGATTTTGAACTGACAATAAAAAAATGTCTCTTTAGAGAAACTGTCAAAGTCTGGATGCAAATCTCGTATCTGTGCACAATAAACCTGAACACGATTTTCTGCTGAGTCTGTGGCCTTCTTCAATAATTTGTTGGGCTGGTGGACATGATGGTGAACAAGTAAGTTAAGTTGTATGCCTAAAGAGACTTAATTGTTTGACTAGACTGAAATTTCTGCTTTAAACATAAAAAAAAAATTCAAATGAAGATGGTTTGATTTCTTCAAAGCTTGACTGAATTAGCTTCTTGCCAGAGTTGGAGTACAGTAGTGCACTCTTCATAATTACCTTCTTCACTCATTAGGAAGGACAGTGGGTGTGGAGTGATGGAACTGCATTTGATTATACCTACTGGTGCTCTGGAGAGCCTAACAATGTCGGTGTAGGTGGTGAAAACTGTGTGGAGATCATCACCTTGAGCTGTAAGAAGGCAGTTTTTTGTGCTACTTTCTATAATAATTTACATACAGTAGCCTAACATGAAATGGCTCATTTGGACGTTAAGATGCCATAAGCTGAACATGCTATTTTATTTAGATTCTAACACTACTATACTGATCAGAATAACTTATTTCATTTTTCCAACCTACAGCTTACCGTTGTTGGAATGATGTGCCCTGTTCATCCTCAAAGAACTATGTTTGTGCTAAAAACCTGTGAGATCATATGCATATTATATCCTGCTCCACAGATACTTTGATTATACATTTACATTTTCTGACTTAATTTTAAAATCTCTTCTATACTTTAATCTCTTCTCCATTCCTTCTCTGAAACACTAATCAAATCAATAAAAGCATCAATAAATAAAATCATGTGCGTTGTGGACAATGTATAAAAAGTATACATAGCAATGTTGGTTATTAGAATGGCAGTTCTAAATACAGTATGTAAATATGCAAATTTTCACCTCATCCAACTCTCGTTTTGTTTTCTGTCTTATAAAATATCGCATTACTTTTTCTGTGAGATCATGAACAAGACCTTTTTGCAAACCTGTTTGACCGATTAGAGCAGTAATGAATCATTCGGTGTTCTGGAATTGATATTTCTGACTTTTTTTTGTGATTTGCAAATTGAATTAATCACTACTGCAATAAATATTCAAACAACACATTTAAATAATCATAATGACATTTATTTATTTGTAATGAATTAATAATTGTCAGCCTAGTACATCTACTATGGCAATATTCTTCACATCATGAACATTGTTTACACACTCTTAACCCGAATTAGTTGACTTTACTAGAAAATTGCGTGGAAACCCGTTGCACTAAACAACTTTAGTTTTTACACAGGGTGAAACTAAACGGGTTAAGTTGTATTAACATAGAACATTTAGTGGTTGTAGCAGACAAATCAAGTTGGCATTAGTAGTCTTTACTAAAAAGCATTAGTTCACATTATGAATTTTTTTGAGGATATGTTTTATAAAATAACTATTAACCAGTTCCACTCCTGAAGGGCCATGGTTCAGCTCCAACCCTAATTAAACCAGCTAATTAAATCAGAACCAGCTAATCGAGGTCTTCAGCAGTATTGATCATTATTTGAATGAAAATTTTTTGCAATTCCCTGCAACTAAAATGTTATTTCTGCAGTCTACAACATAATTCAAAACAGGGACATATAAAAAAGTCTCCTTTCCAAAAGGTTACTAGTAAACATTCTATATATAGAGAGAGAGAGAGAAAATAAATGTTTAGGTTACAACTGCATCTGTCTCAGAAATAAACATCTATTTGATTCTATTTGATTTATATATATATATATATATATATATATATATATATATATATATATATATCAAATAGATGTTTATTTCTGATACAGATGCAGTTGTAACCTAAACATTTATTTTCATAGTTTCGAGTCTCGACCCACTTTTTTTTCTCATTTATTTGAAATAATGTCATATATTTGTTAGGCTACATAAAACTATTTTATTTAGACTAAGTGCCATGTTTGTGATTGTGCTTACAGATTGGAGATGCTTTTTTTGTGTGTTGTATATGCCTTTGGGAAGCATCAGTGGCTTTCAAAAGGGGACAGAAGCAAATGAAAATTTTTTGCAATTCCCTGCAACTAAAATGTTATTTCTGCAGTCTACAACATAATTCAAAACAGGGACATATAAAAAAGTCTCCTTTCCAAAAGGTTACTAGTAAACATTCTATATATAGAGAGAGAGAGAGAGAAAATAAATGTTTAGGTTACAACTGCATCTGTCTCAGAAATAAACATCTA